TCTGGTCGACCTCATTAACATGATTTATTCACGCACCCACACACGTGACAAAATTACAAAAATAACGATGATGCAACAAGTTCCCATCGTTGGCATGCCTCATTATGGTTATCGTGATGGACTTGAGGTCGGCAAAATGTTTTTTTCTTCAACGACAGAAAAATAATCCACATGACCGTAATGCCATAGCTGTGATGAAGGATGGAAAGAAAGTAGCAAGTTTACGACGTGATGTCTCAAAAGTGCTAGCTCCCGTTATGGATTCACAGTCAGCGAAATACTACGTTTTGAAACCAAGGCTAAGTGCTTCAAACCACTTACCAAGGTATGGATCGTTGCAATATTGCAATATTGGATTCATCGTGAATGAAGAGAAAGCAGAACGTGTGCGCCACGTGCCACGTGGTTCATCTTACGTCGTTAAGTTCCAATGAGTTTTTACATAAAAACACAAACAAAGCGGCCTATTTCAGGGCCACCACACACTCCAAAAAGAGAACTACCGTAACAAACACACTATTTAAATAAATCGAACGCGTTCGTTTTTGACAAATAAAACTTTATTGTTGACCCCGTTTTTGGCTAAAAGTCACCCTGGGCGTTTAACCGAGGATGTCCCCAACATGTAACTTTTGTGAAAACAGGGGGTGGGCGCTTGCCCAGGGAGGGGCGCGTGCCCCGGGTAATACGGTATATAGATTTATAAACACCGAAATAACTGGTCAGTTTATTTTCTTCTTTACCTAGGTACCATTTACGTGTTTACAAAGGAGTATTTCGAGGCAGCGCATTTGTTGATTGGTTACTTGAAGTAGGATTGGCCAAAGACCGATCTGACGCAGGGAAATATGGAAACCGTCTCTTACTAGGACGCGTTATTGAACATGTAAAACAAGAACATCATTTCCATGACAGATCTTACTTTTATCGTTTTGTTAAACTTGATGAGTATGAATAACATCTCATTTGTACTTAGCTGAACCCGGACTATTATGGATTGTGTTATTGTACACGTAACCATGTTACGCACTGTTCTATACAGGAGCAGTATAAATTAATTACGAAAATTGATTGTATATTTATTTACATTTATTCGTTTCTTGTAAAGAAACAAAAACAAATATTTATACTGGAATTCATTTTCACTGAAACGACTTTTTGGATGATTTGTATGGAGATTATTTTCACTGATTCTTAATGAATTGAATATAAAATATAGGAAAAAATGTATATTTGCTCGATTTTATTTTCACTGAATCATCCCTTCAGCGAGAATAAATTCCAAGCGAAAATAATATATTTTTCAGTAAGTATTTTTTGGCATAATGGCCATTATTTTGGTGAACGTACACCAGTGTTGTTATACTTTAATGGGTTATCAACTAAATTTTTAATTGGTGAACGTACACCAGTGTTGTTATACTTTAATGGGTTATCAACTAAATTTTTAAATCCATAAAACTATGGATGTACCAAGTGAATAAACCCGGGGAGGGTAATAATATATGGTGTCAATAGCTGAAATGCATGATAACATCAATAATTTGTAAAAATGATAATCTCACTCATTTCTGTTTGAAATTGAACTTTTCCAAGCGTCTGATTTCTGAAATGTTATTGGTTAGAAATACTTACTATTATTGTACACAGAATGTGATTGCTTTTTCAAGCTTGCAAAGTGTTTGCTTTTTATGATATTTTCATTGCATGTCATTTCACTGTACATGGTTACGAAAGTTGCCTACCTTTATTTTATAAATCCTTGGTTTAGCATGTACATGTATATAATGAGAAACAGATATACTGTTATTTGTAATATTATAATAAGATTTTGCTAAGAATGTATGATATCTATAATTCTGAATTTTGGTGCTTTGATTACTAATGAAGATATCTTACTGTGACCACAAGAAAGAATGAAATGGTTTTGCTAATGGTATAGATATATTACTCACAATTTAGCCATTGCTTCCTGTGATAACACTTTGTGTAACAGTGATTAGCTCATTTGTATTCAGTTGTTTACAATTGAATAATTTAACTGAACTAAAATAATGTATTACCTGAATTTTACACTCGGGTATGCATGTATTTTATCTCAATTTGTCAACTACACTTCAACTCTGCTATATTTATTTAGACTTCAGATATTTCAGATTTATTTGTATGCTACATACACTGCGATCATACAAACCACACATTATGTACTTTTTTGTTATATAAGTGGTGGACCTTTAGAAACTTGGAGAGGGGCAGTAATTTATAGAGAAAAACAATATATTTATATAAAAAAAAGAAAAAAAAAATATGTTTAATCAATCAAGCTCATAACAAAGTTCAGGAAAAACAAATAATTTACATTTTTTTCTCACCATATTCCCTCACAAATTTTCAATGGTCAATCTTTAAAAAGTGATTCATCTACCCCCCCCAAAAAAAAACGTTAATTTTGAATATTTGTTTCATCATGATAAAATAGTGACAGTCTTGATTGATTTTTTGTGACAAGTTTAATGCCCCTTTTCAAGCCTTCATGTGTTTGAGTTGACATCTCTGGTGCTAAGACTAGGAACTCTATTTTTACATTGAGATATCTGTTGTTTTGGCAAGGCCATGAATAACAGAACTTCACTTTTTTATTCGTTATTTTCTGCCTTTTACTTTTGTTTTGAATTGCAAAATAAAATGGAATAAAAAAAATAATAGTTGCCTGTAATTTATTTTTTAAGAAAAATGTTCGTCTTCACGAATGGAATGAAACGCTGACTAACTTTATACATTTATTTCTTGTGATAATATTGCACATTTTGTGCTGACAAAATAAAAAAAGAACCACAATACAATAAGTCTTTAAAAAATCTATTGGCCAATCGCTAAAAACAATCAAGGTGATTGGCGCCCTCTATGTCAGATTGTAAACTACCTGGTCGGTACGTTTGTTGATAACGTAATGGACAAAGTGTGTAGGTTAGGGTTATTTATTTCTGGTCAGCGTACGACAGTTGAAAATCGTTTTTATAATACTGGTATTCTTACGCATGTAGTGCCTTTTGTCACCTTTTTTGGTTGATCATTGATCTCCAACAAAATACACCTTTCCTACGCAAGATTCCAGATATTTTTAGCATATGCAGATGACCTTGTAATTATTATCTCTTGTTTTAAAAGATGTATGCTAACCTGTTTATATTCTCAAAAGGGATTACTTGAAATGGAATTTATAATTAAATTTGCATAAAACCAAAATTATAGCTAACAATTTTTTCTTTCAAAAATATTTCAATCTAGAAGAACTAAATTAATTAATCAAATGATTTAACAAAAATAAGAAAGGCCGATATAAACATGTGCCACATGTACAGATAATGTGTAAAAATTTCAGTCGGAGATGTCGCAATATCACATTAAAAAAAATAATTTCTCAACTGTGTACTTTTTGACGGGACTTTAAAATTTACGTATCCTTTGTGCTGTTTTGTTAGAAGTGTTACGGCCAAGTTTGTAATCATAGTCCCTCGTGGGACTGTGTTGTAATTTACATTTTTGAAAGACTGGGAAATCAGTCATACGATTTTTCCACAATACATCTTATTATTATTATCCAGAGTTCAGAGGAAAACGTAGATCACAACAAATTGTGAGTGAGGTCATTCATCGATATGCAGATTAATTAATCCTATATTGTAAATAATCTTCGACACGTGAAATACGTGATGTGTATGACCTTTGACCTTGGTAATCGACAATTAAAGCGCAAAACTCAACCACAGCATTGACATGTTGATTGGGAGCTGCTGAACCGCAGAAGATATTCAGATGAAAACAGGTAAATACCACGTCGTTTAGTGATTGTATTTGTCGGTGTGAAAAATGCTGCGAATGACTGTTAGGATGGGAAGTGAAACAGCCGGGGAAAACTGCCTTCCTCCACGGCTGTGGACGATGGTTTGAAAATGTACAGTTTCTATTTTTTCGCTGACTCGCATTTGCATATTTATCTAGCTCATGCATGGTTACTAGAAGACCGTGGTTTATGTGGTACAAAATACCGTGGGTCAGTCCATATTGTTACATATTTTTTTAGGCTAAGGGATTGACCATTGGAAATCCGGAGGGAATGGGTGGTTTCTGCTGTAAAAACAATTATAGGGACAGAAAAATAAACATCTAATACATACCATAGTAGATACAAAAACAAATTCTACTGATATTTACTAGAGACAAATTATTATACCGACATCATCCCGGAATTGAAAATCTACCTCAACACTCAGTGAAGGAAAAATGTGTTTATATTGAGAATGAGTTATTTTTGGAATATTTATGTCCAAGCAGTAAATGGATAAATTTATTGCGTGTTTAGGAAAAAAGGCATCATTTCTAAGTTTTGTATAAACTATAATTTATTTATACATGTACATTGTGCAATTTCAATGACGCCACAAGTGTCTATGAATAGAACACCACCAGCTCTATGAATACTGTAAAATACTTTATTAATTGGAATTAATTTTCACTGAAAAAACATTTTTTGTGCTTTGTATGAAATTTATATTCACTGATTTTTGATAAATTGAAAGTAAAATATAGGAAAAAATATATATTCACTGGATTTTATTTTCACTGAATCATTCCTTCAGCGAAAATAGCAAAAATTAATTCCAAGCGAAAATAAAGTATTCTACAGTAATAGACACTTTTTATTACAGGTACTAATTGACAACACTGATTATCAAAAACTATGCTTGTGCAGGTTTTGTAAATAAGCAAATTTATTTCTGTATCACACTCACAGTCAGCTGGCATATGTGATCGGAGGTGTAGAAAGAAAGCAAAAGTTCAACTTCAACTTTTACAAAAAATCTAACCAAAAACTTGTTTTTTATTCTTCCCATTATGATGAATAAACAACAAATCGTTACATCTTTAGGCATATTTCAACAGTAATTTAACAAAATATGATTAACAGTGTTCCTACAACACAGACGACTATGTGTGTGGAACAGCCTCAGCTGAACAATGAGCTTGTGTTTCTTTGATGGTCATGAACTGTACACAAATGTACCGTAGCTATATCAAACAATCAGACCATGATGATCAGACCTTGCCCTTTCTTTCTACACCCAAGGTCATCCTTGCCAACATACTGTGACCATGCTCTACTAATATTCCAACATAGCATACAACATATGCGTGCCTCTGTTCCCTATATTTTAAAATCAATTTATTTCAAAATTATAACACCATCTAGCCAAGGCTGTCCGGGTAAGAAAAAGCAAAAAAGTCACTCAGAGTGCCCGCGAACCTGCATCTATACCTTAATGAGATAGACTCAATAGCAATATAAGAACCAGGTAGCAAGTCCCGAATTCTTTAATTTACTTTGGTACTGTACACCCTGATTTACTCGGGATATTTTGTAGAAATTAAATGGTAGTAGGTAATCATTTAGTCTTTATTTGTTTCTATCATTGTGCAAGGACACTTATTGAATAATCACCAAAGAATATGAACATCTAATACAATTTTCTATATATTCATTGTTCCTGGCAGTTACTTTCACCAATTGTTCTGTAGATGTGCCCTGCATTACATTGTAGCAAATGTTATCAACTATCATGTATGTCGTTCACTTCTACATGTGTGGTGCGACAGCCATCGCACTTTGATTAATTTAAATGATTTCTTGTTTGTTTCATGAAAACTATAATTTGGATGATATCTTGAAAGTCATCACAATTCCGTTCAAAAGATTGTGACAGTCAAATGATTTCAAGTTTTAAGAGAACACTGATCTTATATGTGATATTAAATGGTCCATTATTATGTCTATATTCTAGTAATACTGTATATATTCATACTGGAACTCAAGATTGGTGATAACAACATATATCAGCCCGTGATAGTAGATATGTGGAAATGGGATGCATCTCATCTGTGAAAATATTATATGCATTATCCATCTTTAGAAGTAAGTCACATTTTATTTTTGACTATTTAGTTTAATACATTGCCTGCTGAAAGCCAAAATGATCAGAAAAAATGGCATAGGTAGACAATGTGTTAAACACTTGGTTAGAGAAATGAATGAACTTTTGTAAATTTCTTGTTTTTTATGGTTTGTATATATCCGATACGGTGTTGTGATTGGTCTAGTAACAAATCTTCTATCAAATGATAGAGAGAATGTGGTCTAGTTATAAATCTTACATTGTATAAAAGAAATTTATAAATGTTTTATAAATTATATAAAAACATTCATGCCTTTCTGAAACTGAATGTAATGTAATGTTAATATTTTATTCTATTACATTCTCTAAAATCTCAAGTTATACTTTTTTAATTCTTTCCACTTTTTGCCAATTTTTTTTTATTCATTGTTTTTCCTGTTTTAATGATCATACATGTATGCATTCTATTCTATTCTATTCTATTCTATTCTATTCTATTCTATTCTATTCTATTCTATTCTATTCTATTCAAAAATACATACATTGTATACACTGAGTATGTAGCTCCAATTGTATTGGCTCTGTATTTGTACGTTGACATGAAGGTTAAATGAACCCACATTCTTTGTAAGGTAAACAATGTCTGAATGAGAAGCTGTGACTGATTTATACCTGACCCTACTACACATTAGTGTCTGGTCTGGTGTATGTTTGTCAAGGTCTCCATCATAAACTAAGTACTTGCATTAAACATTGACACATTTTCACTTGTAATTATGTTTGCAATTAAATGATATTATTAGACATTTGTCACTGTAACACCATACATGTAAGTTACAGTGTGCTGCAATTTTGCGGTATTTTACGGGGTATTGTGGAATACTTTATTTTTGCTGAAAAGGCTTTTTTGGCGTTTTGTATGGAATTTATTTTCACTGATTGTTGATGAGTTTAATGTAAAATATAGGAAAAAAGGTATATTCGCTGGATTTTATTTTCATGGAATCATCCTTTCAGCGGAAATAAATTCCAAGCGAAAATAAAGTATTCTACAGTATTTTCATCCTACCATATTAGGAAATGCAAACCCCAAATATGGAATGATTACGTGTGTAAGCGTCCTCTAATAATAAAAACAAACATGGCTGCCACCAGAGTTTGACCGGACTCCACACAAAGAAGTTCGCCGATTCTGTTCTAAACATGGTGTATCCTTGGAAAGAAAAAAATGTATAATGATAAAGTTATCATGAGAATACCTCAAACTATGCACTCAGACAGTATGCCACGCATCAACCTCTTCTGCTCGTCAGTCCATACTCTCGCTGAACTGTCTTCGTGCATACTTTGAGGTATTCTTGTAATAACCTTATATTATCTCCAGTATTGCGGAACAAAAATGATATCTGGACACCATAACTGAATAAACACCATGCACATGGCTATCCAAGTGTGGATTCCTAGTCAAGAATAATAAATGAACATATATATGTATATTATATTATTTGAATGTACCGGTAACTATCCATTAAGTCAGTTCATGGACCTCAGAGGTCTCAATTGAAAACAAAACAGTAGAATAGGTTATGTTGTCACAGTTGTGAATTGTCAATAAAGCAAACATTGACATTTTTATAATTCAGAAAGAGCAACACTGTACATTAGATTCATTGATCAGTTTCCTGCCTTAATTATTACCATTATCAATACAAATGACCACAAACTTTATCAAATATGTAACTCACTACCTGAAACTACATCACAAGAAACATTATAAGATTACAATTTTCGCATTATTAATATCAAAAGTGTTATTTCAACCTTTTTTTCTGTTTTTACTTGTTCACTGTTACATGTATTTTATTACATTCCTGTTCAAAATGGATTGTTTTTGATCATTACGGAGTGATAAATTATTCTCATTATATCTTAATAACATATGAAGCAGTACCAATGAATACAGAAAATTATTTTATTTCATTCCTCCACACTTGAAATCTTCTTATATACTACTACCGATACTATATGACTGACTGACTGACTGACTGGCCATCATTTTGCTCACTGAGTTTATAGTTTTTCTTATACATGTATATAGTCAGGTGCATTCTGAGATGTTTCTTTTAGGTTCAATATTTAGATATACAGTGAGCGACATAAACCTGTAACTGTAATGTATCTGTAAACACTGGCCCAGAGCTTTCATTCAAATTCAAATATGTTATTGTGGTGGGTTCAAGTACAAACTCAACACTGTATCTTACTAAACTGTGTTCACATGCCTTCACTTTTATCTGAATGAGATGTAATGTTTATAATCACTCGCTTATTCAAATTGCTGATTGGATGGTTTCAAACTACCTCAATTATATATTAAAATACATGTATAGTGTTCGTGATGTCACAACGTCATCGATGATTGGTCAACTACTTTAATGTACTTTTGAAATTATAAAATGATGTATTTATAAATGTTTATGCGTCCATACTTATTCACACACACTTTAATAGCGTACAGTATAAATATGCACAAATTGAGGTGGATACTTTGCTACTTTTCACAAAATATGACTCGTACTTGGCTGAAAACAGTACTCTTACATACCTCATCACAGAGTACAACTTTAACAATGTCATGTTTCGTTTGATAGGTGTACTTAGTGATAATAAGACATGTCCTGAAGAATATCCATTTCCAGGATGTCCCAGACCAGGCATTGATCCTATTGAGGCTATTCAATGTTGCTGGAGTTATGATGTAGGATATTCATGCTGTGTACCATCACATTCAGAGTAAGTCTAAGATCAGCTCAGTGAATTCATTCACGGTCACAGTTTTCCACAGTTTAAGAACATTTTGTTGTTTAGACGCATATTCCAAATAATTTTTTCCTGGTTTCAAATTAATTAGGTAGACCAAATGACATACTGGCCATCAACAAAAATAAGGAAGCTTGAACCCTGGCAGTTATACTGGGTATTTTTGTAGCCATTTAGCCGATGTCGTAATGATAGAAACCAATCATATGCATCTTAGATTGCGTCTTTGAAAACTAAAATTCGTTCATTGATTGGTGGTCCACAATGGGGCACAGTGTAAATTTACTTGATGGCGCAGAATGATTGTGCAACTAGGGGGTGCACAATACATTTAGATGCAGTACCGATTTTATCCTCTATACATACCTTCACTGTATGTAGCTCAGTATACATGTATAGCAGTCAACTAGTAAAAACAGCATTTAACAATATCAGGGGACTAGCTTCTTTGTATAGTATTTACAATCAGAAGACACAATTTTAAATAGAACTGATGTGTGTGCAAGTGTGAGATATGCAATAAAGAAATCACACAATTAGAATTATGATCACAAAATCTCATTTCCGGAAATTCTAATGCAAATTTGGGCGTTGTGTACGAACTAGTTTCTGTTCATCTCAGACTGTTTTTTGACCTTGCATATTCGAAAATGTGTGCAATTTTGAATTTTTTGAATGCGGACATATTCTTGTCAATTTATGTTTACGCAGTCAAACATTTTCAAGCACCCACTACATTCTGTGACACTATTGATTAGAACTACATTTGATTGATGCACATAGAACAGGATGGCTTTCAAGCGTTCGCAGATCGCAAGAGTCCCGTGAGATCTTCATCACATGCTCTTATATTATGAACACGTGATAATGTACATATTGTTAGCAGTTGTTTTGGTGATAAACGAAGACTGCAATTAGTTGTTCACCTTGTAACAATCAAAGCTTCACTGTGGATTGATTGCAAAGCTATGCATTCCCACACAATAATAATATTTGTATTTTTCATTGCAGAGTCGGTTCAGCCATTCTCTTAATAGTGTTTGCAGTAACAGCGTTAACAGTGACAGTCATCTCTGTAATGTTTGTCTGTTTTGTGTGTCAGCAATTTTACAATTTATTGTACAATGCGAGAGTTGCAGAACAAGAGGAACGCGTCTCATTGATTGACTCCGGTATTTATGCATAGTCTTGAAGATTAACTTTTCAACTATTGAACATGCATCAAGAAAAAAAACAATACTTGGGGGTGGCGCAACGTGACAAGACGTTCCACGTTGCTAAGACGCGCACTACTGTACCACATATTTCTATGGGCTCTGAGCGCGCTGCTGAGGAACGTTGAGCGAAGAGCTGGTGAAAATTCGAGAAAACGACAGGAACTCAACTTTGAAGTAATCCTGAACAATCAAATTTATATGCATTACACACGCATGAGTAATCTTGTTACACTGTTCAGGGGAGTCTCAACAACCATCCCAAAATACAGTTTTCTGAGAGTTTTCGGCCTTTTTCACCAGGATTGTTGCCATGCTGTGAAAATGCCCGGGTGTCACCCCCCCCCCCCCCCCGAGGATACCTCAATATATCTCATAGTACATTAAATTGGACTGTGGTGAATATCTTATCTCAAATTCAAACCGTTACACTATCAGCAATATTTTGCTTGAAATGGTATTTTGTTATAACTTGGGTCACAATTTTGATTTATTTCGGTTTGTCTTTCAGTCTTTGGATGTACATGTATAATCTTTGAAGTTTATCGATGGATTAACAAGTAATAATATTGATAATGTGGCTTGCGGGATCATACTTTTTTTTAATTTCTTCCATGAATCTAGAAATGCATATTCAAATTGGTGAAATTGTAGTTCTCGAAATCCAGAAAACTTTAATTTTCATTTGACATGAAGCAAATTGTTGATCGTTGCATACTGGTGTTAGGTGTTAGAATTGACCTTATGTAGATGTTATGCCAATAATGGGCTTAAATATTGTTCACTGTAAAAGCAATGTATATTTTGTTATTTCAAGGTAAAAAGTGGTTTCAAATTTGTTCCACATGGTCATCACATCTGTTGGCTTTGAAATTAGGGTTCATTCCCAGAAATATTGAATATAAAAAAAAAATTAGATAAATTTGGGCAAGTCTGTCTGGTGGTGAAAGGGTTACGTAATAGCAATGACTCAACTTTCAGGTCAGTGTTGTCATATTGAAATCTATTATAAATGAGTAAGCAGTTTATATTTTTCACTTCTTGTTTGATACGCACAACTTCAGTTAACTGAATTATTGTATTTACAAGTCAGAACATTTTTAGTATAAAGACATAGAAAATTTATATGATGGAGAGATGTTATTCCATAAATCATATTCACAATATCAAGAGTTCTATGTGGAACTATTGCGCAATAATATTTGAACATAACCAAATTCCTGGTAATAGAGTATCCAATAAACTAAGTTTTATTGGATTTTTGGCAATCATTGTAATATGCAAATAAAATTAATGAGCTGACTTAATTTTTTTTACATTCCAGAAACACTTTAATGTAGGGTTATTAAACCAGTATAGATAAGTGTACCAACAAGAAATTGAGTGAATAATGTACAGTAAACTCCAAATCACACGGGATTGTGTTACTGTATGCAGGGCCTGAATAGCAAACACGTAGTGAGACTACATGCTCACTAATCTGGCCCTGTACTTCAAAGGGTTTATTTGGAAACCGCATTTCTCATTTACAAACTTAAGTAAACAGTACACTGCTTTTATTCTGAAAAACCACTGATATTTTCTTTGTATCAACAAAATAGTATATCATTCAACAAATGGAAATGTATTTATTAAGCTTTTAATAAATCATGGAATATATACACAATTGTATACTCATGGAATTTCATAATCTTTTGTCCAATTGGAATTTGTTGTCCCTTGTTACATACATGTCATTTTTCACCAATATTACCATGGAAATATGCAAAATACTATTTGAAAGTATGTGGTTGTTCATTATATATATATATAGACTTCATAATTTGATTCAAAATAATTAAACCTTAACTAATCTTGCTTTTGCAGTGTGTATATATATTTTGACTTTTTGAATACAAGAACCATGTTCATTTCTGTTACCAAAATCAAACTTTGTTTAATCATTCATGGCTGCTGTTTTAACAAGTTTGATTGATGAACACAGACTTTGTGTGAAATCAACATTGCATACCTAAACTAATCTTACAAAATCTTGGTTGCATCTGTGTATTTCATTACTGCAGCTTTATCTTTGAACCATTGAGGATTTCAACAGAGCTGACAAACTTAAAAACTGTAGGTAACTGAAATCATTCTAACTTTACCCAGAATCCTCTGCTCATTAATGAAATGCACTGAATGCCTTGTATAGTACGACAAAATAGTTCTGCACTTTTGCAGCCCAGTTCAAATATCCCTTAATAATTCTCAAAGAGCTTGTATGCTAGCCCTATACATTGAACGTAATTAGTTGTGGCTGATATAACAAGTTAAAAACACTGCAAACCATTGTCTCTATTAAATTCAGTTAGATTTTCCAAATCACAGAGTCTTCATGCAACAGGCACTCATCGTGTAACAAATAAATTGCGCCCTCTATAGCCAGGATTCAACAGACATTTTCAGGAGAATCCTTGAAGAAAAATTGGTTACTAGTATTTCCATTTGCAACCAAAAAAAAAAAAAAAAAACTACAGAAAGTTGAACATGTAGTAAAATGATACAAGAATAAAACTCCCTGTCATGACTGGTAGCGTACTATTGAACCATGTCATGACTGGTAGCGTACTATTGAACCATGTCAAAGTAATCTATGACTGCAGGCTTCTTTTTATCAAACAGATCGGTGCTTTGTTTGGATGCTTGAACTGACATTCTGTAAGAAAAAAAAATCAATATATAAAACATTCGCCTGTAATAGGAAATTTTTAAATCGTGTGAACTTCAGAGGGTATAGATTTTATATTCCCACACAATTTCAATGTGCATGTTTAAGTGTCACCAGTGGATGCATCAGATGGCCATTGTGTGTCATTGTCTACAAACTCGCGTCTACCCATGAGCCTTTGTATTTTGCATGTTATCATTCCCACGTGTACGCAGGTGATGACCCTCACGCTTTAAAGATCAACAGTGTTGTGGAACCTGTTCATCGGTAATTATGGAAAAAGTTTTACTGTGGAAACAGAAATGACTGTTAGGTACTACATATTGAATAAAGCAAAAACATGCAGTACAGACTCTATTCACAAAGATGCAAGAGCACAAGTGGTGTCAGTATTCTGGAAATTCAAACTTTGCTCATTGCTTGTTATTGTGAACAACGACCTATGTCACATTACCGGTAGTTGCATATCCTACACTACATGCAAGGAAACACTATCAAAATTCTATCAGCCGCCATTGGATCAATTTTAATGGATTTTCATTGTTTATCTTCTTAAAATAGAAATCAAAGTACGCCATATTTAATGTATACTTCCATAAAACCTAGAGCCCCTGCCACCAACAAATCTCTGTTCAGCACTGTACTTCCAGCCTGATGCTACCTATATACATGTATGTACGATTTAACTTTGTTCTAAGTTTCAAGTGAATAATTTTGAAAACAAGCAGCCTATCGGCTGAGATAGCTCCGCTGTTAGCAATGCACATTTCAATTAAAGAACTGAAGACATCATTAGAAAATGAACAATATGTATAGTATCAAAACAATCGGACTTACAGTTTTTAACAAGAAGTCGAAAATATCACTTCCTACCAAAAATTACAAAAATATTCACCAAAATTATAGAATCCAAGATATCATCACGAAATGAACAAATCTGAGAAAGGTCTACATGTAGTACCTATATATGTAGTATCAAAGCAATTAAACCTTTGGTTTTTAACAAGAAGTCGAAAATATAACTTTTTACCAAAAATTACAAAAATATTCACCAAAATTAGAGAATTGAAGATATCATCACGAAATGAACAAATCTGAGAGAGGTCCACATGTAGTATCTATATATGTAATATTGAAGCAATTGCACTTGCGTTTTTTAACAAGAAGTCGAAAGTATCACTTTTTACCAAAAATGACAAAAATATTCACCAAAATTAGAGAATTGAAGATATCAACATGAAATGAACAAACCTAAGAGAGGTATACCCAAGGTACATATACACCAAGTATCAAAGCATTCAGGCTTGTAATTTTCAAGAAGAAGTCACGGACGACGGACAACAACAGACGACGACGGACAATCACTCATATGATAAGCTCCGCTCGACAAAGTCGACAGCGGAGCTAAAAAGGTTTTCCATTTCCAGTGTTGAATAGCCACCAAGTTGCAATCCAATCATAGTATAAAACCAAATGTAGTTCAGTCGGTTATCATCTATTTCATACGAGCAGTATTCACAAGAATATTACCTAATATCATCTTCTTTACATACATGCGGTATAGGAGTTGGTGCTTTGGGGTGCATTTCATTCTGTATTAAACTCGTCAATGTCACAGCTGGTATGTAAGACCTGTTTCTGTGTATGAAAGAGTAATACAATTAAAGAATGACTGACAATTAAACAGTGAATTTATGTTTCCACATCCAAGGGTTATCACACAATAAAATCTCAATAAATATATAATCTAACAAAACATTGGAATTTGAATTTCTCACTAAGCAAAACTTAATTTCATTTCAAAATGTTCCTCATTTATCTATATTACATTTTGATCAATATTCTGATAATGTTGAACATTAGAAAATATTGTTCAACCCTATTTCAAAAATTTACAATATGTACAAAGATCATAACCATAACGATATTTATTTTGATGAAAAGCTAATATATTGATAATAAATTAAATGTCATTTCTTTTTTTGACCACAATCAGTATTTATTTTTTTCACTAATCTAACCTGATTGCTGTAGCTACAGTACTTCGTTTTGGTTCCGGATCATAACTCATGGTTTCACATTTATAGTGTTCAGCAAGTTCATGTATAACTTGGCGATGATCACGTGTCATCGAAGTAAAGGAGTGGCTTTTCTTGTTCTGTTTTATCTACAAAGATAAAATAGTCAATTAGACAAGCAGACAGATGAGAAAATAATAAGAATAATGCAATGTAGAAATAATTTTGTTCCAAATGAACTATTTAACAGTTTTTTAAACACTGTTGACATGCATAACTTGTGTATATTCAGTGTGACAGGACAGTAAATAAAGATCAGGTGTCAGGTGACACCATGAAATAAACATAATATTGCGATATAAATATCTATATCGCAATGCTGTTAAACGGTGATATTCATCTTGCCATACATGCAGGAGATATTTGTCCCATACATGCATGAACAAAGATGGCGACTTCAAGTGTTGCACAAATCAACCAGTGATAAAGACATTACCAAGATATAACTATGCAATTCATAGCAGAGGGTGTAACAGTCATTTGTAAGTATTAACACATCAGCTTACCTGTTGTAGTGCTTGCACCAAATTTGACAGATCTCTCTCAACAGAAGCCACGAAAGCAGGATTTTTTCTGGTGTACAAATTCAAACATATTTTTCAATGACATTATTGATATGAACTTTATGGAATAAGGGATTTTTTCGTTCACTGCGAGATCTTGCGTAATGCGTGAATGACACAAACCGAAATCTGCCGCAGAAATTATTTATTTTTATATTTCTATGTCTTATTGCTGATATTTCAGAAGAACATACGGCATTCATCTTCAAAATTACAGGTAACCATCAATGAATGTGTATACACATAGCATATTATTAAATATGCAAGTACCCACAAAGTGGTTTCGCATTTGTTAAATCCAGCACAATGTTTTGACGCTACTACGACGCAATGAGCTTTGTTTTTACATTCAATTTTATGAATATTGTTAAATCTCAGAGTGAACAAAAAATGATCTGTTGACAAGATATTAGGTCGGAGGGGCACAACACAAAATGGCACATACAATGTACATATTACTAGTGAGTTTGAACAAAATTTAAATTAAGCACTACACACATGTTCAGTGCATTACAAGCGAGAAAATATTATGCAATAACGATAAATTACACGCCAATTTTGAGAAATTTTGCGAATTTGTTAACCCATGTCAACAATTCAGAATATGATAAATATCTTCACTATATAAACTAATGCAAAGACATTAAGCTGTTAACTACCAAGACATCAAAGATCTTATTCCTCAAAACATTTTCAGGTGACCCCATTTCTTTATATAGTAATGAAACCAGAATAATGCCAGTAGAAAATTACAAATAGTCTTCATTTTTACATACAACTAAATTGAAAGCATAAATATTGTATAATTTCATGAACTATTTTATCACAAGATTACTTAGACTGCATAAAGTTAATGTACGTTTCATTTATCGCTAACATTGTCATAGGATACTCACCGTGCTTGTTCTTTCAAGAACTGCGAGTAGTCTGGTACTCCTGCTTTGGAAGATAAATTGGCATCACCGATGTTAAGAGCTTCGGCAAAACGTCTGAAATTATACGTAGTATAGAAATAAAATTATCTTATAATGACACAAAAAACAGTGTACAATAAATAAATGCTATATAAATAATCAATAAATTTATTGTAAACTATTTTATCTTTTGCTGCTGTCAATAAATGCAAATTTTGATAAATGCGAGTTTCAGATAAAGTAATTACAAATCTGCCAAATTTATTTTTCTCTTGTGATATAATACCAGTAATAGACCTTGTAATTGTACTCTTCTTTCATTACATTCATACATGTATTACCCTGAACACACACTGAATTAAGTCAATTGCTGAATGTCAGGTTTATATGATCTTACCTGTTCCTTTCCATCACAGCACAATCTACAGTACATTCCAGTCTGTGTAAAATTGACACAAATAAAAGGTGAATAAAATGGCATAAATACAAATCAAGCAATCCCTTCTGCAAAAGTTGTTCCAAAGAAAGGGAGATCTGGTTTCAAAATGTACAAAGCAACAATGTAATATGGATTATAAATTTACAAGTTTTCTGTGTATTGATAAATATACTGATATCAGTACTAATGACAAGATAAAAACGACAGATATCCATAATATACGACTGTAGAGGGCGCTTTTCACTACTCACTGTCTCTGTTTATGTCCATCTTTAATCTGCATTAGATTGCTAATGTCCACAGTCTGTCCTGATTGGATATCTTTCATCTTACTAGCAAGCTGTGATGTAGCCAGTCTGAAATAAACAAAATAATTTCAAATAATTCTTACAAACAATGAAAGTCTCTGAATGTATAATTAAAAGATACAAAAAAAACTCAAAGTTTTAAAGAAAGAGAAGAAATTAGACTGTTCATTTCTTAGCCGGTGTCTAGTGAAAAAAAAAAACATGCTGAAAAAAGCTTAGCATTGAGAGTTCGTGTTTCGATTGAGCACATTCGACAATGTTTGAAGATTTTGAATTTGACTGTTTCGATAGAGTAATAATTATAATCTTGTAAACTCTGGTGGTACATACGGTACATGTTATATTGTAATAAAATGTGACCATTTCTGTTTCTTCATTGTAAAAGTGGTGTTGAAATCAATGATGATATATCTAATTGCACAATTTAATTTTCCCCCAAAAAAACATAATTTTAGTCCCAATCAAATTTCGGTTTTGTCTACACCAACTACGGTAGACTATTGTTGAAGTAGTCATGGTTACGTAGCACATACCTCTGAAATGCTTGTGCCATCTGTACATCATCACCGCCTTGCATGCATGAAGTTTTCTCACTTCTATTCCCACACTTACATGTTATCAAAATCTACAATTCAAATCAGAATTACATAATAAGCAATCAAGTAACACAGAAATCAATCTAAACCAAACTGTGAAAGTTGTCTATGAAGAGAGACTGGAAAGTATCAATCTGTATCAGTAATTTGAGATTTTGATGTCACCAACTGGTCGCATCCAGAATGCCAAACAATATTTTAATTGAGCGAACATTAAAGTTTGTCATTTAAAAAAAAAAATACTATTTTTAACTGTTTCTTGAAAAATGGACACTTAATACTTAAGTATGTATATGTAGATACTTTGGTAGAACCTGTTAATCTGTCTCATTTCAAGATGGCAGCTAAATTGCTGATAATGATATTAGCAGCAGAGCTGTCTCACCTAACAGATAAATTGTTTTTTGTAGACATTAAGGTTGCCTTTAATCTGAAATCCAACCATTTCGAGTACAACCAAGAATGGCCTGGTTGCTATGCAACTACCGGGGTTTATAGTTAACACAGAATTGTGCCATCACTGATTGCCTGTCTCTATGACTTATCATTAGACAAGGCCCACAGACATCACTTAGCACTTACGACCGATTCACTCATCTTTAATTTATATATTTTTCCCACAATCGTATATGGCATCTGGTGCAGGTTGCTTTTAAAATTTAAGAAATGTTCACCTACACTGAAATGTATCAGTAGCCAAACAAATCAATTAAACTTGTGAAGAGCAGTAACAGTCGGTCTTACGACTGACAGGTAATGAAATCAACAATGACTGTTGCATGTTCAGTCCATCACAAAAAGTTTCACTTCTAAAATTCAATAATTTATCCTATGGACTTCACCACATTTAGCTCATTTTCCATAGAATTCTATGGAAATTCTATAGATAAGGGGATAAGGCTACAATCAGAGAACATCTACCGTATTTGCAGATGACCACATACCTGTGTTTTACACGATAGTTTAGGACACTGTTTTCCTGGGTGGCATGGCGCGCCACATGGATGCCCACATTCTTGTCTACGTACAAGACATGGTTGGGTACAAATCTCACCATCACATTCGCCCTGTCAACATAAACATACATTTATACCATTTATTTTTTTACAATTACTTGAGGGTATTTGTAGTAACCAATTTAAATTAAATTAAATTCATTGAAATTTGTCCTTCACAGTTTACAGCAATGGTCATTGATATTCATAGTCTCACAAACGCTTTTTCATTTAGAATAGTCTGACAATAGAAACTGGTCTGCACAGCATTTTTGACTTGTCAAATTATATAAAAAGACAATTGAATTTTTTTGGTATTATATTTCACATGATAGTGCACATATTAAACAGCTGAAAGTGTACTTTTTGTCTGAATATTTACTACTGGAGCAAAATGTAGCTTGTCTAAAATTTTGAGGTGAGCTGCTATCACACGATGCAAATTCGTTAAGATCTTGTTGGAAGCTAGAGAGTCACATGACTTGATTTGGCCCTGAGAATGGTCTTCCATTTATTCCTGCCATCACATCCACTGTGGTTACAAAAGTAAGTTGAACAGTGAACACGATACTGCTCAAATTGACTAAGTGTTCAAAACGTCATAAAAAAGACGCCGACGGCGATGCGCGTCGCACAATCTTTTTGCTAGCTGTCAAACAACTTGTCAAATCAAAACATCTACGCGCCAAATTGAAAAGATTGACGCGCGAAAAATAAAAGTTAACCCGCCAACCGTATTTTCTCTAAACCACGCCCACTGACAAGAAGTCTTACAAAATGGAAACTGCCGGAGGTGACTCGTTCCGAACGCCTCCTAGGGAATATCAACTCAAATGGTGGCTAGAAAATATTGACCACAAGATAGAGAAGTATGATACTGGTCTGCGACGTTCTGGAGATACCAGTTTATGTACAATAAAAAAAAAATAACGGCTTAAGATATTCAGAAAATTTTACCAGGAATTCCATCAGGTCACAAGAGACTCCTACTTTATGGAAGCAGGCAAGTTACGTACGGCAACTTGAATCAAGCTGAACTTTATAATGCCTATGTTACATCGTTTAACGAAGACACTGCTGGTAATTTGAAATCTCAAGCAGTTTCCAAGTGTACCCCCACAACAAAACACAAACACTGCTACGTGTACTGCTGACAGTGCTCCACGTCAACGTAAAAAATATATTCCCAGTCTCCCCGAAAATCACATCACTTCAGTTCTTGTCACGAGAAGTACGTGTCATCAATCGAAAGAATCAAAGCCGATAAAGAATCTCTTCAATGTTTCGATCAACTCTAAGTCACCATCCTCAAGTTATGGTAATATCGTCTTTTGTCTTTGCTTGCTCTGCATAATAATAAACTTCGCCATATTTTGTGGATCCGGGCCCTTATCGTGAAACGAAACTTTCCTGCTATTTCACGAAAAGAAGAAAAATTACCAGTGATCGGACCATCACCACACAATATAATTTCGTTAATAATCATATTTTCAACCTCTTCTGATGATTTTGACCCTCTCTTCAATATTTTACCGACTGCAGTACCGGTATTAGCCAAATAAAACTTATTTATTCTGTGGGCGTGGTTTAGAGTGGGGACGGTTGGCGGGTTGACTTTTATTTTTCGCGCGTCAACCTTTTCACGTAGATGTTTTGACTTGACAAGTTGTTTGACAGCTCGCAAAAAGATTGTGCGATGCGCACCGTCGGCGGCGCCTTTTTTATGACGCTTTGAACACTTAGTCAATTTGAGCAGTAACAGGATATTTGAGGGGCAGAAACAAATCTTGTGGCTTTGGCATCTAAAGGTATATTATTTAAATATTTCATTTTTTTTTTAACTATGAGTAGATGAAAAGCAAAGCAGCACATATATTTTTGTAAGTGTATAAGTTTTGACAAAGAAATCACACATCGTGTCTATACACATCATACACACAACTGTGGAGGCATTACTGCTACACATTTAGAAACAAATGTTTGCTAAACGATACATGTCTCTCATTATGTACCTTATGACACGTTTTCAGACATTTGTGTTGTTTACACGGCAACTCCTTACCGCAAGGTCGGCCACATGATATGTCCTTGATATGACATGCAATATTACTACGCAACTGAAAAAAAAGAAAGAAGTACAAATTGATTTGAAATAACTACATTATGATGGAAATATTTACAAAACAGACAGTGTGTTGTTCATAACACCAATGTTTTCTGGTCTCACTTTTTTGTGCTATTAATGTATGGTAAACACCAAACATTTTGTATTTTGAATTACAGATCTTCAAATATACTGAAAATTTTCGTTTAACAATTACCTGGTATTAATAACAGTGACCAATAACAAATTCACTCGATATTAAGATGCAAACTAAAATAAAGTATGCTATCATGTATCACATGTGCACTTTTTGATCTTAACAAAAAGTGAGGAGACAATAACGATATTCTAAAGTCACCTGATACAAACACATTCTGTCACCAATCTCATCATGCCATGCTCTGTTTAATATGTTGTTACCTTAGTACTGCAACCCTCACACCAGACGAGATACCAGATTTTCTACTTTTTCCATATTTGTTTAGTAGTTTTAATTTTAGAATGTGATGGGATGAGACACTGACATACTGTAAAATGACTAATTTTCACTGGGTTTAAATTTCGCTGATTTACCATTTCAGGCATATTCAGTGGGTTTTAAATTCACGGTTTTGTCATTTAGATAAATGTGTTCTATGCTAAATTTGACATATTTATACTTGGTTTAAATTTAACACATTTTCCAGTCAGGGAAATAAGCAAAATTACAACCCAGTGAATAATTAATCCTTTTACAGTAGTGAAATGAACAATCTTCTGATGCAATAATGCATCATAAATTGACTGATGCATCTGAATATTTAGCCATCAGTCGTCAATTTTTTTCGGCTTTCACAAAATCTAACTCACACTATTGTTATCATTTTCCACCAAACTTTTATCAAGATTTATAGTCAATTGGAAATTACAATGTTTTGGTTCAAAATTATGAGGAAAATTAAAGAAAAATACACAAACTTTTTGCAATATGTTGCATCAAAGTTCTGGCAAGTAATCATGTTACATCATTTTCCTGCAAATCTTTATGTAACAATACAGTACAGCCTACCTCATGGCCTCCCATACAACGTCGCTGTACAAGCTGCGTACATGGTGGACACCTCTCATCACTGTGACAGTTATGCATAATGGGATGCTCGCAATCATGTTGTCTTGAACACGGTTGATTACATTCTGGTGGCTTGGTACCGCACGGTATTGGTGGAAAGATTATCTCAATACCGCAGTGACAAGGAAGCTCGTCAAAACCTGTGTACAAATGGAGGTATATTTAAAACCACTAAGACAAACTTATTGTTAATTCCACATTCTGTTTAATGTTGGTTGATTTATTGGCTAGTCATCAAGTTGCACATCTGCATCATACACTATGGAATGCACATCAAATGTGTATGTCACAGCATTTACAGGTGGAGATAAACACATACAAGCACGCACAGATATACAAAGATCAAAACATTAGTTCATGTTTTCGGGCTTTGTCCAAATGGGAACTGATAAACACACCCAGTGTTACCATAGCAACCAGAAAATTAGGTTCTGAATAAAATCAGTATAAGTGCCTACGATGACATTTTTGTTACAATTACAAGATTACATTACATGAAATGTGTGTGGCACAGCATATTGCTGAAGTCTACTATCACTTTTCAACAGGAAGCTATGGTTTACAAACACAGACCCTAGCAGATTTGGTCACATTTCACAAAATGATCCTGCAACATTTTTCCATATTTTGTTTTAAAAGTATTTGATCAAGACCTTTAGGCAATGAGAAATAAAAAAATAAATAAAAGTAAATAATGTTTTTATTGGCAGGAAAATGCAGGCACTCAAGGGGTTATTCATGATGTGCAAGTTCAAAAATTGAGTGCTTTTGTGTAAAATGGATTGGTATTCAAGTAATTTGGAATTTTATAAGATCTGTATTTAACGACATGATCCTTTCAGTATTGTGGATTTACCTGCTTGCCAACACTGTTCACAGTTGCCAGTATGACATGGTTCTTCACAACGATGTAAACCACAACTTAGTTTTCTACCACACACTACGGGGCATTTATGATCTTTATCCTACAGGAGACACATAAATACATAAACTACTGCAAATATACCAGTAATGAGTGCTAAATCTATCAGTCATATACCAGGCAATATTTCTGTAAACAATGTCTAAAACATAGCTCAGTATACTGTAGAATACTTTATTTTCGCCATTTTCGCTGAAGGGATGATTTCGTGAAAATAAAATCCAGCGAATATACTTTTTTCCTATATTCCCATTAAGGCCACACTGATTTAATTTTATGGATGACATCCTCTGAAGACCCCAAAACTAATGCGAGAGGGCGAAAAAAAAAAAAAATCGGCCAAAAAAAAAATGCTGCTAAAACCACAGGATTACGGAGCTATTATTACGAATTTAACCTCAGTGTATCAAAAAAACAACAAGTCTTTATTTGTAGGAGGCACATGTCGATGTACACATTTCGTACTGTATTACTGTCACAGGTATTATCACCTTTGATTTTGAAAAGGCAAGAGGATAAGGCAGATGTTAGCTTTGCCAAAGGCATACACATCAACTCAATAATAAAGAAAAACTTACTGTGTTGTATTGAAAAAAATAATTAATTAAAAATGAACAATAAGTTTGTCAACAGCAACCTGGAAATTAACTTCTTTGACATTAAAACTACAGCTTTTAAAGTGACACTTCAGATAGACTAAGTGTAGACACAAATGCTCTAGAACTACTTCAACTATGTAACAAATTATAAGAGGCTCGATATTGAAAAAAAAACACCAACGTCACCCCCCGTAAGGGAACTTCGGCCAAGGAGCTTCTGCTGCTTTCGTTGCAGTTTTGTCGACTTCAATGCGGACAAAGCAACCGAACTGATTTGTCGCCTGACCGACTTTTAGGCCACCATACACCTCCACTCCTCTC